TCGAGACGAGCTGTTCACTGTCTTGACGGAGATCGAGAGAGTCGTCAACTCTCGACCCCTCACTCCGGTTTCTACGGATGTAGCTGACGAGTCGCCGCTGACTCCAGCCATGATGTTGGGAGACATCTTTGCAACCGGTATTGCCTCGTCTGACAGACCACTCGATCCACGGCAGTTGTCCGCTCGAGTCAAGTATGTCCACACCGTCTACGAGCACCTCAACCAGCGTTGGTCGTCTGAGTATCTCATTCGTCTCAGTGAGTATCATCGGTCGAAGTCAACTCCGATTGTCGTGAACGACGTTGTGTTTATTGCCGACGACAACCGGAAGCGGCAATCATGGCGCTTGGGTAGGGTCGCAGAGCTGTATCCTGGAAGAGATGGCAAGTGCAGGGTGGCCAAAGTCCAAGTTGGCCAATCGTCCATGCTACGGCCCATTCAACGCTTGGTTCCGTTGGAAGTAGCGAAGGAGCATGTTGAGCCGCCTGCTGTGGACGCTGAGCCGCAGCCGCAGACACCCGCGAGCGCTGATCCAGTCAACGTCGTCGATGATGTTGAAATACCTTCGACGACCGTTGAACCGCAAGTTACGCGTCGATCTCGTCGTACCGTTCGACCACCCCCTCGTCTTGATTTGTGATCAGTGTGGTTGAAGCCCTTTGGTGGGGAGAATGTTGTGTATCGTGTCGGAGAAAGGTCTTCTGGGGTGTCGTCGAGATCTCGTTGCGACCGTGACTCCTGCTTGTCTCCCTGGCTAGGTGCTGCTTGCTTTGCGTTTTTGCGTAGTGTTTTTGATTATTGTTTACTATTGCGTATTGTTAGTGTTCGTTGTGATTTGGTACAGTACTTGTTACGAGATACGACACATTGTGTAGTGTGTGTTTGCAGCACGAAGAAGACTGCTCACCAGAACGGTTAGCTCAGGAGCTTGGGCTTACCTTGTGCAATCACAGTTCATCAGCTTGGACATTGCGCTTGGTCCCATGCGAATAACCGACTAGAATAGTAATTATTTCTTCGTTGCATTTTTGAATTGTGTTCTTGCTAGCTCGTTGATTTATTTAGTTGATGGGTTGATTTGTGTTTGATTACTTATTTATTTGATGCACGATTTATGTGCGCTGATTGCGTGATGGCATGCAATTATGATCATGCTTGCGCCAGCTAGCTAGATGCCTGCGCCGCGCACTGATGTTGAATGAGTTAGTATGCGCCCCGCGCTGTTCATGCATATATGGTACATGGTGTGTAATGATTGCCGCACATGCGTATACGTGCCTCGCCTCGTACTGCTTATGTGCCGCGCGCCGTACTATTGCTGTCGCTTTGCCGCCAAATTTAGCTTCCGCTTTCCGAGCGCTGTACGCTCTTCTGTACGCTCATGCCAAAGTTGGACACACGTTGTGGCTGGCCAGCGCTTTACCCCTCATGCGTTGTTCTTTTCCTTGATGCTGTGGTTTGTTTTTCTTTAGTGTTCTAGAGTTCTCTTTCCGATGTAGTTCGTATTTTTCCAGTCTCTTCTTCTCAATGTATTCTACTGTTCGTTCATTATAGTCCGTAAAGAATTACGTGACCTTTTGTCTTGTGGCGTCTGTGCGATCCTGAAACTTTTGAGGTGTTAGTAGTGAACACAACACCGAGTCAAATCTTGGTCCGAGGAAGCTGAGACGCTCCCTTCCTCCTTTATTCCCAATCGAACTCGCGCACTTCCACCGAAACTGGGCGACTGCGCCCTACTAGATGGGGATTTGTACGCAAAATCTCACTAAAAGCGCCATGTTGTTCTTAAAAAAGTGCGGATGACCTCGATTGGCCCATATGTTATAATCTTTTGGCCGCTGAGGCGACTGATTTTGGTCGGAAAAGGCTGCGATGTAGCGTTCGGCCCTTATTCCCAATGGAACATGGCTGAACAAGCGGTCACGCGCTCCTGCGTGCACCAGTCACCTAGTCACCGTGCCTGCAGGTTACAACTTACAGCATGTTTGGGCGAGTTTCTGTCACTCGAGTTGAACCTTCGAACCTTTGAGTTGAACCTTGGTGTGAAAGTTGTCGCCTGCTAGTGCGGTGACCAGGTGACTGGTGTACGCAGGAGGACGTGCTCGCTTGTTAAACCATGTTCGATTGGGAATAAGGCCCGAACGCTGCATCGCAGCCTTTTCGGACCAAAACCAGTCGACGCAGAGTCCAAAGACTACAACATATGGGCGTATCGCGGTCATCCGTGCTTTTATAAGAACGAAATGGCGCTTTTAATTTTGCATACAAATCCCCATCTAGTACGGCACATTCACCCAGTTTCAGTGGAAGTGCGCGAGTTCGATAGGGAATAAAGGAGGAAGGGAGCGTCTCAGCTTTCTCGGACCAAGATCATTCGACTCAGCACCCCGAAGACTACAACTGGTGAACGTTTGATTTTAGCCTTAACTTCCCCTTTAACCCTTTAGAGTGCTCGCGTCGATTTCGATGGGTGTTGACAGGTCCACACTCAAGCATTCATGCTGAGTGCTTATTGGATCGTAGAACGCTGAATTTTGGGCAAATGCCCCCAGGACAGGGGCAAATTGAATCCAGCAAAAAAGCCGGGGTCACCATACAAAAAAATCGCGTACTCGATCAATCTCTTCGCGTGAATAAAAAGGACGTGATTTGTGCTGCACTTAAGTTCTTGTCAAAATTTGAGAATGAACGCGGCTGATGCACTTGCTTTGCTTTACGACCTTGACGAGGAGGGAGCTCCTCTAGCTTGAGAGCGACAGCGAAGGGTTGGACGATCTGTAGGATGAGGGTGACATGCTCTCTTCAGACGAGGAAGACCAACTTGACGCAGAACTAGTTTCTCCTGGTGAAAATTGGAGCGATGAAGATTACAGCGCGAGTGATGAACTCTCATCTTCTGATGATGATGAGTCAAGTAGTTCATCCGCTGATCATCAGGAAGAGCTGGCTGGTAATGCTCGCGGCGGTAGACGCGGTCCTGGCCATGGTCGTGGCGTGCCAGGTAGAGGAGACGCAGCAGCTAATGCAGCGCAACAGCAACAATAACATTTGCCTGACGAGGTCGTGCGCAGGGACGTGAACGAGGGAGAGGACGTGGCCGTGTTGCAGTGTATAGTCCACTGAGAGGAATCAACGATCCGGACGACGCTGGTCCAGCAAACTTCCCTGAGTTTGAGCCCGACTCCGAAGCTGGTTTTGTGCCAGCATCAGAAGTCGATATTTTCAAACTGTACTTCTCAGCGGAAATTGTTTCAAAGATCGTGGGCTTCACGAATGCGTATGGGCATGCACATATCCACCAGAAGAGATCATAATGCTAACAAGAATGGACAATGGACTGAGACCAGTGTTGCAGAAATTTATCGTTTCCTGGGCCTACTCCTCCACATGGCATGACACCAGCTCCCACAGATGGAAAATTTCTGGAATACATCCTCTCTTCACAATGGCAACTACGCGCACAAGATGATACCATCTTGCAGACGGTTCAAGGCCCTGTTGTGTTTCCTGAAAATCGTTGACCATACTGCAGAGGATCTTGGTGACCGCTTGCGCAACGTTCGCTACCTGTACGATGCGTTTCGTGCGAAGGCTCACAGTCTCTTCAAGCCAGGCCAGCACATCGCAGTTGATGAACGGATAATCCGGTGCAAAGGACGTAGCATGATGCGCCAGTACATGCCAGCCAAGCCCACAAAATGGGGATTCAAGGCATTTGCAGCCCGCGACAGTGCCAGTGCTATACCGTGGGATTTTGAAATGTACACAGGGCAAGCCAATACGGAAGGTGGACTCGCACCCGATGTAGTAATGCGGCTTGCCAATGAAGACCAGCAGCATGTTATCTTTACGGTTAATTTTTACACGTCTGCCAAGCTTGCTACATCACTGAAAGCCGAAAAACATCCACCTTGTAGGCACTGTACGTATCAATGGCCGTGGCTTCCCCAACGTCATGAAGCAAGACACCAAGACGTTCGAGCGCGTTGCAGAGCGTGGCACTATACGGTACGTGCGGGGCAACCCCACTCTTTATGAGCAGTGGCGAGACAAGCAGGTCGTCACCATGTTGTCAACCGCACACCGGGGTGATCACCACGTTACTGTTAGCAGGCATGGCAAAGATGCAGCAGGTCACCACGTCCAACTGGAACTGAATCAGCCGAAAGTCGTCTCCGACTACAACAGAGCAATGGGTGGAGTTGATACCTTCGAACAAATGGCAGAGACGTACAGGACGCTCCGGAGGACCAGGAAGACTTGGAAAAGCATGCTCTACAATATGGTAGACATTGCAGCGGTGATCAGCTACAGGATGTTTGGCATCTGGTTAACAGCACATCAAGGTAACACCACACGCTCAGCATGCAATCCGCACAACTCATTCCAGGAGTATCTAATCAGACAACTTCCCGGAATTGCAGTCGACGAACCTCCTCCCAAGCGTTCCTTCCGAGAAGCTCCCGAAGAGCCACCAGCCAGCCAGCCTACAGCAGTGCTTATGCATACTGTCAAGCATGATGTGCAGAAAAAAGGATGTCCTGTGTGCCCAAGAAGGAAAAGAGCTCCGGGTTGTCACGTACTGCAAAGTCTGCCGAGTGTTTCTGCACGCCGGCGAGCGAGACTGTTTCGATCGCTATCATGTGCAAAAGTTCCCATAGTTCTCGTCGACAATGCTCAGAGTGTACTCTTGGAAACGACGCATTGTCTTGTCGTAGCTGTGCATGGTAGTCTGTGGGTATGTAGTGCAGTGTGATGTCAGAGAATGCAGAACCTGGTAGGATGGTGGTACTCATTGCTGTACGCACCGTGCCAGTGGCACCGACCCTGCTGCCCCAGATCCAGAGATCTCTACAGAGGTGTTCCAGTTCAGCCAAAACTAAATAGGCGATACATGTAAATTTACATGTATATGGTTTCTAGTAGTGCAATTGCGAAATTTAGGGGATTCCGCGGAACCCTCCTGGATCCGCCCCTGCCCTGTATATACAGACACTCACCTGGCTGATGGTCGCTGGTGGAAGTTACGCCGCAACATTGTCCTCAGAAGATGTCCAAGATCAGGGCTGTATTCCTGCAAACAAACAAAAAAAGAAAGAGAGAAGTAGACAGAAAGAGAAAGAGAAACAGACAGAAAAGTTGAGGGAGGGAGAAAGAGAAGAGAAGAGGAATAGAGAGAAATAGAAAAAGGGAGAAAGGGAAGAGAGGAATATGGTATCATAAGGAATGGAGAGCCAGTGAAGGAGGCAGTGGAATGGAGAAGAGAGAAATGGAGATGAATCAAGAATAGATCAGGCCAAGTGATAAGAACACACACACATACACACACACACACACACTCAGATTGAGACATGCCCATCGTGTAAGCGATGATAGCTAACAACTATGTTAGACATAGCAACTTGTGCTGGGATTACACCATTCAACAGCTTGCAAGGCTGATGAATTGACCGCCACTAATTTTAGCCTGGTATCCACCACACTGGTGATTGAAGTGGCTTTTTCTGGCCAGTGAATCCCTATTTTTCATTTTTCATTTTTTTGACACACACACCACACCACATACTCCGCCATACACTGGCTGTTGGTAACCACCCAGGAGGATGAAAGAAGAGCTAGGAGAATGAGAAAGAGAAGAAAGACATGTGCGACCATAATCGTCGGGAATTGAACCCGCAACCTCTAGATTTGAAATCGACTGCACATACCACTGCACCATATGGGACACACACACACACGCACGCACACACGCACGCACGCACACACACACACACACACACACACACACACACACACACACACACACACACACACACACACACACACACAAGGGGCACAATGCACGTACCGCTTTGATCGTGTCCAGGATCTCTTCCAGGCGCTGCGGAATCTGTTTCATCTCCAGCAAGGCCTCCCGCACAGCTTTCGTCTAAGGAGGATCACAAAGGAGAATGAACGGCAGAAACGCGACATGATGCGGTTGGCAGGGAAAGTGATGTGGAAAGTCGAATAGTCTCAAGTGAATGTCACTTTTTGAGGTTGATTAACCCTTTCCGGGTTTATGATGAGTATACTCGTCATGCAGACCCCATCACGTCTGGGCAATGACGAGTATACTCGCGCTATACTTTTTGTACAGTCCAAGTACCGTACGCACTGATAGATCACTGTACAAACAGCGATAACTCTGGAATGGATTATCGCATCGCGAGGATCTATAGCTCATTGGAACGGTCTTGGAAAGGGCTTTCCAGACGTGTTTTCGGTGTGGCGATAGCTCAACAATGATCGAGCGGCGATAAATTGAACGCGCGATTTCGATCTGAACATTTTTCTTACTTTCTGTCTGGTGATATTTTTGCGACTTTCAAGTCATTCAAGGGGATTTCCCTATGATGTGTGAAAGGCAGCATGACGTATGAGTACATCATTTGAATCTCACGAGCTCGATGCAGTTTGAATCGTAGTTCTACGTTGAGTATGAGCCCCAAACCGAAGGAAATAGTTGAGCGTGGTCTTGATGCCAAACTGGCGCACGGTAAGGACACTGTTGGCGAGGCTAGGGGCGTCCTTGAGGTGATTTATGCTCTGAAAGTACGTGGAAGATGACGAGCAGGAAAGGAGCTTTCCAGTAAGCCGTAAGTTGTGAAAATCCGTTGAGAAACAAAAATGTTGTGACAATTTGTTTGTTGCTATCTCCACAATTGTACTGATGCACTGAATTTCAGTGCCCAGACGTAGTAAATGCACTGTGACCCTGAAAGGGTTAACTTAAGATGGGCTGCAGGTATTGCAGTGTCAGGGACAATACTAAAACTGATCTCATACGCCAGAGTGGGAGGCTCTCATTTTGTTGTGCAGAGAAAGCATGGCCTGCAGTTTATGTCATTTGGACGTTACATTGGGGGAAAAGCTGCCGTCATGAGTAATGTTGATGCTGTGTAAGATTGTCGTCCTCTAACGTAAACTTCCTTCTTCCTACTTCCCCCACCGACCAGTAGGAACATCAGTAGGAGTCGATGCACAATACAACTCGTAAATACCAGGGAGTACAGTGTGCTACAATTTCGGTTTGCCTCGTCCCTCAACTATTTGAATAGTTTCTAACAAAACGTGTCGGGATGAGCAGAGTTCCTGTGCGATCTGGTTGTGCACAGCACGCGGCAAAAACTGCAACTTCTCCAGCCACCACTGCCCTACCCCCACCGGAGATACAGCACAGTCTTCAGAAAGAACAACAACGAACATATGGAATATGCCGGCATTGCCAACAGCTTGCCATGTAAATTTTGCAGTTCCCACAAGAAACGTACAACGTACCAACATGAGACCACACGTAGTCATCTCCAGGATTATACATGCCAATGACCACACATCGCTACGTTCGTCGTATCTGTGATGTACGGCAAGGAGTCAAGGGCTACAACCAAGGAGATGGAAACACAGTTTGCTTCATTGGAATGTCCGGTAGAGTGGGGGAATAAGCGAACGCACCGTTGTCAGAGGGGAGTTTGTGGAAATGCTCTTGTTGGAGATTTGGTCTAGAGTACCCATGCTGGAATGCTGTACGTACTGCGAGAGTACCCATGTCGTGGGTCATGCTGAGGGTTAAAGTACCCATACTGCGGGTGTAAGTACCCATGCTGGGGGTGAAGGTACCCATGCTGGGGGTGAAAGTACCCATACTGCAAGGGTGAATGTACCCATGCTGCGGGTGTAAGTACCCATGCTGCGGGTGTAAGTACCCATGCTGCGGGGGGGGGGGGAGGGGGTGAATGTACCCATGCTGCGGGTGTAAGTACCCATGCTGGGGGTGAAAGTATCCATGTCAGAGCTCTGTGAGAGTAAGCCTATTGTGCAATGACCCAATTTGTACCAGCAACACCCTGCACAAACACCTCGACATGCTTTGTGTGCAGGGCGTGTTGAACAGTGTATTCCTGATCCACCAGCGTACTCCTCGCATGCATAACTCAAGCATTCCATATTTTGAAATGCGGCATGACTCTCATCTGGATCACGATCCAGCATTGACACTAGGTGGTCAGGTGGCGGGGAGTCGGACACGCTACGGTCACTATGGTATTGACCGTACCACTCTTTATCCCAAGCACCCTGTCAAAAAGAACACTGATCTGGGCTCTAAATTTGGAAAATGCTAAGGGAGCCACCCGAACCCCACATGTACTTCAGGTGGCTGACCGGCGTACCACCTTATAATACTATCCATCACCCCTGGGTGGTCGGTGGTCCAGTGAGGATACGGTCGTTCCAGTACTTCCGGTGCCATCCACGCCATGCTACCTGATGGAAGACATAGTGTGCAGCAAGAAGAACTCCGGTGGTGAGCCAAGGAAATATTTAAATGGAAAACATGGCAAACGGTGGGGCACATGTTATGCACAAGTTGCTTCCTTGCTGTGGAATGTCTGAGTACTCTTTGTCAGTCTGGTGGTACCTTGTGCACATGACTGTTCAAAATCTGGTTTAGTTGGTGGACGCACAACTTGTGCCCACCAGTTTCCGTTTTTATACAGCAATACATGGAGATTGACGACACAGGTTCCTTGACGCAATTTATCACCGGGAGGGAGCAAGACAAAGAAGAAGGAGGGAGAGAGAGAGAGAGTGTGAGAGAGAGGAAGAGAGAAGGTAATTTACATATACTTCAAAGAATATAGACAAGTAGATCCTAAAATTCGGACTCAGACCTCAACAAAAGCTTTCCTTACACCTGTAGCCAGGTGAATGATTTCAATGCAGGAGACTGGAGAGCGGACAGTGTAATGGAGAGGAAGCACACGTATCCTGAACAGTTATACCATGGCACTGTGATGCCATGCTTCCTCAACACGGATTGAGTTTGTTCTGTCTAGCAGCCATTACCGAGGACAGCTTTATGTGACACCAACACCATCAACCCAGTCACTGAAGGCACGTCCAAAGCCATGGTTGGTCGCCACTAGGGCTGAAACGATTATGCCAATTACTCGGTATTCGATCAATAATTCCCTAATCCTTTGAGGATGAAAGACGAGTATATCTGTTTTTATGCACTATCAGCATAGGTAGAACTCGACCAACCGGCACTAAAGGGTTATGGTATAGCTGGATCCCTGAAGACGAGTATATTTGTTATTGAGAAAACTGCGATATCGATATATTTTTGGGGTGTTTCAAATATCTCATATGTTGCTCACACGAGTACGATGTGACTCTTCGTGAAGGAGAGACATGTCACAGTGGATCCGCGCTGGTCCCGTGGAGAACTGGCCAGATTTGTGTATATACTCAGAGAATGTGCCGATCAAGAAATTATTTAGAATTTGAAAGCTTGTTGAGAGTGCTGGGATAGCACGTAACCTGTCAAGCGTCTCCTTGTCCGAAGCCCATGATGTTATCTTTATGAACAGCGATAGTGAGGATGAACCGTGTGATCTCTTTGACGTTTCTGAGGTTAACAGCGGATTAATACTCCTGAGGGATTTGAAGTTGTAGAAAATGAAAATTTTACGAATACCGGTACTTAAGGCAATCACACCGAAGACGAACCGGAGCAGACTGATGACGAAGTAGAGCCTACTGATTATGCTGCGACTGTTGAAGAAGCTGGCGACAACGTAGGGACTCACAGCTGTGCTCACGGAGTAGATAATACACCTGCTGCACTGGAATAAGATGTTTGGTCAACACGAAATGATAGCAATTCTGCACCAAATTTTACAGGTGGGAATGGGCTCGTGAATTCCTCACCGCCTGATGCAACTGCAGGCTATTTCCTGAATCTGTTCCTTACTGACGATTTCTCGGATATGGTTGTCACCCAGACAAACCCGTGTACCTGCCAGTACAATGCTTGGGCAGAAATTGCACCGCACTTGCCGATCAGAAAATGGAAGGACGTGATGCACGCGGAAATCAAGAATTTCTTCGCACTCCATATTCTGTCTGGACTGGTTGATAAATCTCGCCTGAAGGAGTATTGAAGTACAGATTTGCTAGTTAGTACTCCAGTACGTTGTGCAGTCATGGGACGCGACAGATAGCGTTACCTTCTGATCGTACAGTTCCTACATTTGACGGACAACACGACTGCAGACCAATGACCAAGACGACAAGCTGGGTACGTATGGAATTGCCTGTTGTATGTTCCCCATCAATTAACCGTTATGTTATAGATTACTCTGATAAAGCAATAAAAATAACTAACTCTACCGTCACCATCATGCATCAATGAAGTCAATGGTGACGGCAGAGATAGTAACGGCAAAGTTAGTTCTTTTTTTTTGCGTTATTAAAATTATTGTCTCCGCGGCGTTTTTTCCTATAGATTACTCGTCAGGGATTTGAGTCCAAAAGTACTGAAAAACCCCGTTGTGGGAAGTTTGAATCACTTCGCGATGTGAGTATGCAGTTGCCAGGGGTATGGTTCATGTTCTGACGCTCACTTTACTTCAAAACTGCCATCTTCCGGAGCTACCGTTTCACTAGTGCAGATTGTTTGGTGTTATGAATACATCAATATTGGCAATCTTACGGCAAGCCAGGAGATGCTTGCATGAGTGAACACACCACTAAAGGGTGCACCCAGTGTGCTGACAGTGCTCAACACCGCGGACGCAGACCTTAATACAGAACAGAACAACAAGGGCAAGGGCTTGTCTTTGTTGTTCTGTGTATAAATGAAAACATAGAGAAAGAAAGCAAAGGTGGAAATAAACACCGGTGACACCACCACTGTCCTTACCGACGATAGTTCTCGTTTTAGTTCGCTGATTTCCCATCACTGTTGACACACCGAAATCTCCTGCGCATGTCCAAACAAGCAGAGGATAACAAGAACGCATGTCATGATGGGCAAATCATCATAAGAAAATCATTAGAAAATCACATCATCAAGAACGTATGTCATGATTTTTGTGTTCGTGGTCCTTTCTGCAACAATAGGATATGTGTAACAGGCAGGCATAGTGGGATGGTCTTAGACCATGCAGGGGCATCACAGGGTGGCTGGGAGTGGTACGATGGGGGTCCGGGGTGTCCCCCTTAGAAAAAATAAGGATTTTTCGGCTAACAGGGCACGTTTTAGCACTCTGCAGCTGCAAAGGATCTAGGAGGGTTCCCAGCACCTATTAGACAACCCCACTCCAGCTCCAAAAACATACTTCTCAATTTCTCATGGATTTTTTGGTATTTTCTTTACATCGTAGGTAGCCAAGCAAGGCAAAAGGAACCCATTGCCCTCGAAAAAATCGCAAAATCCGAAGTACAAGCGTGCTGCGCGCGCGTTCTAGCGCCAGCCGCTGTGCAAAAATGTATGTCATGTTCTGCAAAAGTCCGCCGCGTCGCATGCACTATGTACACGGCCGGCCGGCCGGCCTGGACAGTTGCGAAGTAATTATTTTAGTTGTTTTTAGAGAGAGAAGAACATCCTTTTTTTTGTTCGGTGGGATTGAAAGATCTGCTATGCCAGTGGACCAGTCCGGAGAGCTACAACACTGGAAGCAGAAGAAAGGGCTTGCGGAATTATCTTCTCTGTCTTCGTGGCAACAGGACTTTAGTTTGCGAGAGACTTTCGTCCTGTCGTTGCGGACGCAATTCTTGTTGCTGCTACCAGAAACCTCGGAGAACGAAACGATCGTAAATCGTTAGGTGAAGCGGGTCGTGTCGGTGAACAGCTGCAGAATATTCTGCCGCCGTGGAGCAGCACGGTCCAAACACTATTCAACTTCGGAGAAAGCAGCGCTTCCCTTTTCCGTTGACAAGCGCGGCGTTTGCGGTTGTAATCCATTTTCGCATCAGTTTGCAGTATATCGTCAGGAGCCAGAGGTACTAGGTAGGTGTCGTTGTGGAAAGAATATAACAATGTTGTAGCTGACAAGTGACATACATGTAGTGTCTCTTGACCGTGCTGATCGTCATTGTAACACGGTAGATCTTGGAAAATTTTAGTTCTGGACCCAGTGATCGCCGCCAGCTCAGCTCTGTTTCCGTCAAGTTTGCAGTGAATGCGTCCGTGAGGAATCCATCGTCTGGTTGTCTCTACCCGTGACTCCAACCGCCTATCGTATAATGGATAGCCGCTTGGAGTCTTGGGCAATAGCTAGCTAGCTGCTAGTGCTAGTGCTAGGCATCAAGTCTGTATGCTCCTTGCAATGAAAGTTGCGATGTTATGTACAAGTCCGAAGATCCTTGAATTTTTTTATTGCTTTTTTGGATGAATTGGGTGGACCATCCTGGACGAAAAGTGGTACGACCATGGTCGTAGTGGTCGTACCGTGTGTGACGCCCCTGCCATGATTGAGAAACAGAGGGCACTAAGTACAAATCCTGCTTGGAACCAGAAGGAGCCGTGCTGCGACCCCCAGTTTATTGGGAATGTACGGTCCTACAATTTGGCAATGGTATCTTGATATTCTGTTATATATTTGTATTGCCGGTTAAAACTGGAAACTGAAACTTCTTACACGAAGTTGACAGATAATCTGGCTCACGAAAACCAATACTAGTAACATGAACAACAGCCCAAGTACAACCTGTCAGCATTTCCTTGCCACCAGCATAGCTGTCCAAAGCTGAAGAGATCCACCATATACATGAAAGCAATGACCGTAATAGCCTGTGGAGGTTAAATTTCAGTACGCATGCTGCAATCATGTATACCCATGCACATAATCACCTCACCTATTCGAACGGAAAGGTCTTCTGTCAGGAAGATATTGCTAGGCTTGAGGTCTCTGCAGCAGTCACACACACAATGGTAGTATCATGACAAGACAAGAGAACAAAAAATCATCACACACTGAAGCCAATACAAGACCAGGGGGATAACCAGAACACGACTGTGTTATAGCAAAGAAAAGAACCAAGGTACTACAAGTTCACTATAATGTCCACTAACAGCAGCAGTTACTCGACAATTAGCTCATGCGATACCACTGCACGACACTGACACTGACGTTCTACTAATAACTGCCAATCAGCACTAGTACGTCTTGGATGCTCACTCCATCCACTCTGTAGTTCCTTGGTCCTTTTCTTTGCTATAAATGTACCCTTGGCTCTCCTTCCGACAAAAACTGTGTTACCAAGAACCAGGAGAGTTGTACCCGAAGCTTGGATGCGTACAACCTTGTTGTATTCATATACGAGCACAGGGCTGCAAACAACGTATCCGTGATGTGAAGCCCTGGCGCAGCAGACCACAATGACTAAGAGCTTCACACTCTTGGGGGTGCTATGCACTCTTGAGGAAAGTCACATCATGTCAGTGCCTCAGCAAGAAGCTAACTAGAAATGGCACAGCTACCCCCGCCCTGGAATAATCCCACATGCCAAAGAAGAAGTGAATGTCGGAGCGTAGAGAAGCGTTGGTGCCCACCTGTGAATAACGGCCATGTCATGGACGAAGATCAAGGCGTCCACCATCTGCCCAGTCCATTTCTTGATCATCTGCAAACCAACGGGTAGGAAACACGGAATAGTACAGGTACATGATCGGCAACAGCAACAGCAGCAGCAACAACAGCAGCAGCAGCAGCACCAGCAGCAGCACGAGTAGCAACAGCAGCAGCAACAGCAACAGCAGCAGCGACAACAGCAGCAGCATCAGCAGCAGCAACAGCAGCAGCATCAGCAGCAGCAACAGCAGCAGCAGCAGCAGCATCAGCATCAGCAGCAGCAGCAGCAGCAGCAGCAGCAACAGCAACAGCAGCAGCAACAGCAGCAGCAGCAGCAACAGCAGCAGCAACAGCGGCAGCAACAGCAACAGCAACAGCAGCAGCAGCAGCAACAGCAGCAGCAACAGCAGCAGCAGCAGCAACAGCAGCAGCAACAGCAACAGCAGCAGCAACAGCAACAGCAACAGCAGCAGCACCAGCAGCAGCAGTAGTAACACCAGTAGCAACAGCAGTAGGCGCAATAAGGGGGGGGGGGGGGCAGCATAGCAGCAGCATTCAGAACCGGTTAGCAGCAACACCGGCGGCAAAGTGGCATAGCAGCACAAAAAATAGTACACTCATACCGCTCTTATCCGGAGCTTTGAAGCTACGCACACCTCGGTCTACCAGGCACCCTGTGGGCGAGTTCGAGTGGAGATATTACTACTCTTTTGCCATTCTGTTGTGGAAATAGTGATGTCATATGCGAGATCTCCGTTGCACTTTCCCCATTGAACTGTATTTGATTCAGATTTAGGGACATTTCAGGTGTGGGCTGTGGCCGGTACTGGACCGCCCGGAAAAGCTAGAAATGAGTATCACAGTAGGAACCTTGGATAACTGCTGGTGAAGGCAGCAAAATTAGGAATTGATTGCACCTAGCCTTCAGGCTCCAGTTTCTCGATGCATGCTACAAAGATAATGTGAAATACTGCTCTAGCAAAATCAAAACGTTGACAATGGATATTTCAAAAGCGTTGCTGGAGTCCCGTCACAAAAGACAAGAAATCATGTTCGACAGCCTGCCTGCCGACATTGTTACATACCATCTCGTCCAGTGGCTCCTTCTCCTTACGCTTTCTCTCCATCAGCTGATCAAGATCACCTGCAAAGCACAGACACATCTACCCGTCTACTGTAAGTATACAAAGTTTGGCACGCTTAAATTTCGGCCGCATTAACTTTGCAAAACAAAATTTCGGCCATTAACTTTGCAAAACAAAATTTCGGCCGCATTAACTTTGCAAAACAAAATTTCGGCCGCAACAACGTTTAGGCCAAAACACGACCAGGCCGGAAATAGCCAAAAATTCACAAACGCCGAATATCTGTTGACTTGCGGTAGTGTTTGAATAAGCAATGTGTACTGCGGGCAACACGCGGACAGGCACGGCGTAATCGGTCCGCCTGGCCAGGCCATGGCCGCACCAAACTGTTTGGCCACCAACGCATGCATACAGCTCAGGGGCTCATGCGCACCCGCCATATCGTACAAAAGTATGAAGTATCGCCAGACCAATCAAAAACAGCCTTTTCTACCGACACACACACACAGAACTATCAGATGCAGCACGGCACAGCGGGGCGGTGGCACATTGGGTGGAAGTGAGGGCAGTGCAGAAGTACCTCCTCCAACGAAGGGTCTCGGATTCATAGTTACTCATGTGCACCGGTAGCTTCCGTTCACTGGTCCTGTAGAAGGGGCATTGTTTGCAGCATATACATATATACTACAAACTGCCTGAATTCAGCGTGAAACATGACCAGGCAACTGCCTTGTGAAAGGAACATTCTCGATCTCCCTCTCACCCATCTTGTAGTAGTCCATCACAATACACACGTTCATCGACTGATTCTGCACACACACACACACACACACACACACACACACACACACACACACACACACACACACACACACACACACACACACACACACACACACACACACAGACAAACACACACACACACACACACACACACACACACACACACACACACACACACACACACAGACAAACACACACACAGACAAACACACACACAGACAAACACACACACACAGACAAACACACACACACACACACACACACACACACACACACACACACACAGACAAACACACACACACACACACACATACAAATACACAGACAAACACACACACACACAGACAAACACACACACACACACACACACACACACACACACAGACAAACACACACACAGACAAACACACACACAGACAAACACACATACACAGACAAACACACACACAGACAAACACACACACAGACAAACACACACACACACACACACACACACACACACAGTTGCCTAAGGTCGTCAGGCTGCGTACAGTGTTCTATGTGCAGTGGACAGAGCCAGTAATACAATGATCACACAGCAATGGCACAACCAAGTCACTTTCCACCGTTACTCAAGTCCCTTTCCACCGTTACTCAAGTCCCTTTCCACCGTTACTCAAGTCCCTTCCCACCGTTACTCAAGTCCCTTTCCACCGTTACTCAAGTCCCTTTCCACCGTTACTCAAGTCCCTTTCTACCGTTACTCAAGTCCCTTCCCACCGTTACTCAAGTCCCTTCCCACCGTTACTCAGAGTTTCGTGTGAAAACACTCATCATACAGAGCATTTCAACATCAATTGTCAAAAGAAACGCTGCTATGCAAAATTGGCAAGCATCAGAGAACACAACTAACCGGGCATTCTTCACTCTCTCCGCAAATAATATACATGATTGCACAGGTACAGTAGTTAGCAATGGAATAAGGCAGAATTGAAACAACACGTCGTTGTCTGAGGATAGGCAGATAGCAATGAAACTCCGAGTCACAGCTTAATTCAGCCTTGCTTTACTGCTAACTGGTGTTTTTGGCTTTGGCCTCGCGGCATTGAGCACTTCTTGCAAAGGTTAAGCAACATAGCTTGTAAATCTAGAGTTATTCATTCCAAACTGGCACCCCGTTGCCACACATTTCCAGTGGTAGATACAGTGAAATCGACTGTACATCCGGCATCGTGTGACCGGTGAAATTCTTCCCTGCCACTTTTGTAGCGAGGTGAAGAAAGAGATGGTGGTGGTGTGTACGTGGGAGGGGTGGAGGTCATTTTAGTGTCTCTTGCACCAATGTTTCGGCCAGTGGGTTGGAAACGGATAGACTGTATTACCTTCTGGTCCCACATGACAAAGAATTCCCGATATCCGCAAATGTACTTGTGTTTCAACTGACTTAGAGCTTGAGCCTGCAAGCACGCATGCACAGAAAACACACAGACACACACACACACACACACACACCGACACACACACGCGCGTGCGCACACACACACACAAACCACACACAATCATAAGGAAGGACCACAACGTCCTTGGAAAGCGGAAGAACAAGAGAGCGAGCAAGTACGGATGCAAGGGGAGTGGAAATGGAGCAAGTATAGAGATGAAGATGGGAAGGGGGAGTGTGTCACGAGTCCTCAAGACGAGCCTTGCTCACAAAACAATTCAACCGATCTCCACTTCAGAGAAAGTGACTCGAGTGCACAAACACATGTATAGTACGTTTGGACATGGTTTAAATCTGGGTTGGGAAAATTTTTCACTGGTTTGAGACACAAACGGGAAAAGTCAAGAAAGAATTGACTGTCACCACCAGGACTCGAACCAGGGACTTTTGGTTGAGGCCAGCGATGCTCTAACCACTGAGCTAAGGTGTAGCCGTCATCCCAGCAGAGACCGTTCAACATTTTCTTCAGACTTTGTAAACTCACACTTCCTCTCTCTGTGTGTGTGTGTGTGTGTGTGTGTGTGTGTTGTGGAAATTTTTATTTTTCATTGCTATCAGGTTCGGCCTCATTTTCTCTGTGCTGCACTGACGAGTCCACAAAGGAAAAAAATAGTTCTGTCCAGAGATTGAGTATTTCGCTCCTGCTCTTGTAGTAGTTGAGCACTCTCATGTGGGGTAGTGCCTTTGCTGTTTGCGCTGTGCCCAGCTCACTGACTTGTCAGGTTTAGCACTCTGGCAAGGTACGTTCGGGCCTGGTTTAAATCTGGCGTTGGAAATTTTATTTTTCGTTGCTATCAGGTTCAGCTTCATTTTTTCTGTGCTGCGATCCACAAAGCACGAAACAGTTCTGTCTGCAGGTTGAGTGTATAGCATATTATTAATTGTGCGGGGTAGCCAATACAGCAGCAAACTCACTTTGAACATAAGGTGCAGTCCAAACGGAAATGTAAACTGTCACGTGTTAAAGGCGGAGAAGCAAAAGCAAGCGTGCCAATGCACTGCGAAGCAAGGGGAAGTCCACAATGTTCTGGACGTGGCCGTATCTGGAGTTGCACTAATGTGGCCATTGTACTGACTGTGGGCATTTGAGTGGCTTGATTCTTTTGGGAGCGGTAGAGGGCGGGGGAGAGACGCTGCCTGGAGAATTAAATTGAGCCGTAATCAAACATATGTAGAGTGAGGCAGCTTGCATCCTTGTTAGGCATGTATCCTACCCCATGGTGTATAGGTGAATTACTAGTTCTGTGCAGTGCCGCAGAATTATTGCCACTGCTGATGTGCCACAGGCCCCTCACTGACCTTTTGCCTTACTCCTTTCTTGAATAAGTCTCACGTCTGACGCGAACCGTGATTTTTTTGCAGTACTGCCGCAACTCCATCCCCATCCAACCCACTTCATCCCCATCCAACCCCCTTCATTCCCGATGATCATTTTGATGTATTTAAACTGAATTGATTTTGTTGAGTGCATCGATTATTAGCCATTGTTGCTCACAAACCTTTCTTACACATACACATTGTGAAAAGCAATCCAGTGTAGAAATGGGTTTCTTGAGATACCAAGAAACGCATCAATTCCCGTTCTCCCCATACCCAACTATCATACATCATTGAGCACGCAATTCAGGGGCGGATTAGGGGGGGGGGGGGGGGATCTCTGGATCCGCTAGTGCAATTCACAGCAGAGTCTCTTACCTCATCAAAGGCTTTGTCGGCCGACCTCTTGTCCGCACACTCGATCTAAGAATGCCACAAAGGCGCATGGGAGAGCACAGCAAAACAGCACGTGTCATAACACACCCAGACAGGTGTAGACACACATGCAAACACACTCTGCACATTCACAACTAACCTACAAAAAAAACAAGAAAGTCCGTAAATAAGTACGTATTTACTTTCGAATTTAGTGACCACACCCGTAGTCCCGCACTAACTTTCGGGCGGGTACTAACTTTCGGGCTGGTACTAACTTTGGGGCGGGTACTAACTTTCGGGCGGGTACGTACTTTCGGGCGGGTACTGACTTTGGGGCGGGTACTGACTTTGGGGCGGGTACTGACTTTGGGGCGGATACTAACTTTCGGGCGGGTACTAACTTTCGGGCGGGTACTGACTTTCGGGCGCGAACTACTTTCGGACCTGACTTGTGTGTAGTGGAGAAGTCATTTTCATGTCGATGTACATGATACGTGCTGCATGTGCGCACCGTACCGGTACTTATTTCGGGCAGTATGTTTATCGGGCTTGACTTGACTTCAACAGACAGAGCCAAAAGAATGAAGGGGGTATTTCTTTCGGGCAGGTACTTATTTTCGGACTTTTACGGTATTCATAACTAAGCGTAATGTAAACGAGTCACGACAGGAACTCAACAAATACGTGATGCATATGCGGCAGCAAGTGGGAAATCCCTAAATCCTACTGAGAACACAATGAGGATTAACACTATTCAGTGCCCAACCCTGGGGGGATTTGTAACAAATATACTATATTTGTATATGCCTGTGCATCAAACCTGTTTCATGACGAATTGCTTGCGTATTCTCTTGTCGTACACCATGTACACGCAGCCCTGAGAGCCGCGACCCAGCCGTCCGGCAATCTGCAGGTTTACGCCAGGTGATAGGGTTGGCACACACATACACACACACGCACACACGCACGCAAAAACACACACACACACGCACACACACACACACACACACACACGCACACACACGCACACACATAATTATACACACGGGAAGCTCAACAGGTTAAACACTTTACACACAGACAAAAATTTCAGCACAGAGACCCACACATCAAATCTCTGATCTTATGGGTAACCGATATAAAGCAACGGAAGAAAAACATTACGCAACATAGGACAACAGTTTGCGTTCTCTCACCAGACATGTGGTGAGCTGATTGGTGGTCTGGTTGTCATCGAAATAATTTTGCTACTTCACCGCAGCCCCGGACGGAAGCTCCTTTCGAACGGCGTGTGGTGGCCCTGGCGAGGTCGTTGCTGGTCGCCGCAGCCTTTGCAAGCACGGAGAGATGGATAATTATAGCTTCCTGTGTTGCATGCAACCCCCGGCCGAGTCCTGCGACCAGTTTTCCGCTTGTCCATGGTGATGCCGAGGTTGTCGAAATGCGCAGCTGCAGTGACGGTTAGTGTGCATCCGCTACGCCTAGGCATGGAAAGGTTCAGGACATGTGTAGTCCACATAGCGACGATGCGTGTTGCCGGAGTTAGAGCAACGGAAACGGGACATTCGTCGATAAACAACACGCGCAGTTACTGCTTCGGCCTAAGAGTTCACGAACCCTCAAGCCTTTCTACAACAGTAGGACTTCACCTCAGTCCAACTGTTGAACATACTTATCGTGTGTACGCTTGTTATTCGAATGCCCTTACTACGTGCCGAAAATGCGTTGAGCTCAAGCACCAGTTTCCATCACCTCCCGACTGCGAAGAAGATTCACCGTCGCTAGGCCTCGTTTTCTACGACCAAGCAAAGTACCCGGCTGTGCGGAATGCTGTTCAAACGGCTCACGGTATCTCTGTTTTCAAAGCCTTCTTTCCTGGGTGCTGCTTGCTTTGAAGCGGGGGTAGACCTCGACGACAGTCGACAACATCTTTATCCAGCGAATATGGCAGTAGAACGAGCTAGCAGCAAAAGAGAAAACTAACTCGAATCCATGCCGTTCCGTCGAATGATTTTGGTCTTCCGGTTGTGGCGCTCTTTTGACTTTTTTGTAGTAAGGCTTTCACACCTCTCGACCAGACCCTGGCCGCGCCGGCCTGGTCAACACAGACTGCATGCCAAGTAGGGCCCGGTGTCCGAAACTCCCCCGCCGAAAATGCTTTTGGGAAATTCTCGTAAACCTTGCCGAAAATGCTCCCAAACCTTGCCGAAAATGCTCGGAAAATGCTCATTCTTTTGTAATCCTCAGCACACGCCGTCAAAAGACTCAAAACCAGGGAGTCAGAAAATACCGGTATTTTACGACTCCCTGGTCAAAACTATTATTTTCAATTCATAAACTACTCAACAAGAAGCTAACCCATGGAATGCGGAAGTGACGTTCTTGTTTGGGAAGTTTTTCTTCTCTCAATTATTATTTTGATACACAACGGCCAACTTCCCCCCGCCAAGTGCTCCGTTTCCCCCAAAATGCTGCATCACGAGCATTTTCGGTTCGCGGATTGTACCGAAAATGCTCAAAAAATGCCGGCATATTAAACGGGGGGCTAAGGCCAAGTACAGTGCTGGCAACTGAAATCCGACCCCCTGAGCCGCAGCGTCAACAGGCTTGGGTGCTTGAAGGTGTAATGTTGTATCTGCCACCTTTGTTGGTTTCAGGGTTCATAATTATACTTTCTATTTGAAGTATACATACCTGTTGACCATGGACTGCTTCTGGCTCTTGTGCGATCAATGGTGCTAGTGACGCTAATATCAGATCTACTCTGATTTAGCCACCCACAGGGTCACACTAGTACTACATCTAGTACTCAGCACTAGTAGCAAGTATTACCTTCACTGGGGGCGGGGGTAACTGCAGTTGGATCCCAGGACGGATACCCTGATGCCGTCGATCCTTTTTCTGCACCTTGTCCTCACCCACTTACTGAGGTGTGGTGAGCCCATAAGTGGGATCATTTTCAAGTCCACCCAGAGGTTTGGGGATTTCAGATGGTGTCGGCCGTTGGGCGGTTCAATACTAGCCAATTGAGTCACTTTTAAAAGATTCCTTTCGAGTCTCTCGCCCCTCTCCCGGGAAGACCCACGTGACCAGTTTTGGCAGTGATCAACAAGTACACGTACAAGTGTGTGTGTGTGTCTGCGTGTGTGTGTGCGCGCGCGCGCGCGTGTGTGTGTGTGTATGTGTGGTGTGTGAGTGTCTGAGTATGTGTGTGTGTGTGTATGTGTGTGACTGTGTGTGTGTGTGTGTGTGTGTGTGTGTGCGTGCGTGCGTGCGTGTGTGTGGGTGTGTGTGTGTGTGTGTGTGTGTGTGTGGTGTCAGAGACTGTAGCATCGCTATCATTGCCTCCGGCGATGGGCGCCAAATGGTCACTGGTGTCAGAGAGAGATTGTGTGTGTGGTGTGTGTGCGCGTGTGGTGTGGTGTGGTGTGGTGTGTGTGTGTGTGTGTGTGTGTGTGTGTGTGTGTGTGTGTGTGTGTGTGTGTGTGTGTGTGTGTGTGTGTGTGTGTGTACATAATTATGTTGCCTCATTTTCTCTGTGCTGCGCGGACGAGTCCACAAGGGGCGAAACAGTTCTGTCCGCAGATGAGGTAATCATGATTATGTTTTTTGTGTGTTTAGGCAGCTCCGAGGAGGAGCGTCTCGGTTGCAAAGTATAATGCATTCATATCCTCACCGTGTAGTGATCCATGGTCTGGATTGAGCTGCTACGTCTCCTGCCCTGACCTGCTGCTCAGGTCTGTTTATTAGTCTGGCTCACCACGCGTGCTGGTTATTTGCCACCGTCCCTCACGGCACCGGTCCGACACTACTAGACAGTGCAAGTGGTAACAGTTCCAGCTAGGTCGCTGCTGCGTGCATTCGTCACCCAAGTCCTTGGTTGTCGCTCTCAATGAGCCTGACTGGCACTTGCACTCACCCAGCAGGGTCAGCGCTCGCTTGACTTGTCTAGGCTGTAGCCCTCACGTTCAGGACCATGCCGCTATCCACCACTAGCACTAAGTCCTGTATGTAGGGTACAATGCTATTGCGGCTAATTGCCTCCGACATAAAACTTCATTCAACCACGGTCAGGACTGGTTTCTGTGCAGTATCTTTCCAGTGACCGAATCTACTGCCACCGCGTATTGACGGGGTGGGTGATGACAGTGATGCTGGTGTGTGCACTCAGCGGTTCTGGCCCCTGATAACAGCATGCAGGCTAGGCTAGACTCTACCCTAGCCTGGCCTAGGCTAGGCTAGAGCACACAGTTTGACTTTGAAGTACATGACGTAAGTACATGACGTAAGTACATGACGTAAGTACGGTAAATAAAGACAGTATTAGTAACTATTAGTTACATAATAGTTTGAGCGACGCCCCGCACGCCAAGTCACGTGTCCACTACTATAATAGTATTATAGTAATAAATATTTTTATTAATTTTTGTAGTCAGGCCTGTATTTGCAGGACACGTGACTTGGCGTGCGGGGCGTCGCTCAAACTATTAAAGGGGAAGTTAAATTAAGGCAAAAATTAAAATTTCACCAGTTGTAGTCTTCGGGGTGCTGAGTCGAATGGTCGTGGTCCGAGGAAGCTGAGACGCTCCCTTCCTACTTGAATCCCAATCAAACTCGCGCACTTCCACCGAAACTGGGTGACTGCGCCCTACGAGATGGGGATTTGTATGCAACATGTCACTAAAAGCGCCGTTTCGTTCTTATAAAAGCACGGATGACCGCGATTGACCCATATGTTGTAGTCTTTTGGACGCTGAGTCGACTGGTTTTGGTCCGAAAAGGCTGCGACGCAGCGTTCCGCCTTTATTCCCAATCGAACATGGTTGAACAAGCGGTCACGTGCTCCTGCGTACGCCAGTCACCTGGTCACCGTGCCTGCAGGGTACAACTTACTAGCCTGTTTGACCTTTTTTGGGTGCAGTCCTGTCACTCGAGTTGAACTCGAGTTGACCCTTGGTGTGAAAGTTGTCACCTGCTGGCGTGGTGACCAGGTGATTTGGGCACCCAGGAGCACGTGACCACTTGTTCAACCATGTTCGATTGGGAATAAAGGAGGAACGCTGCATCGCAGCCTTTTCGGACCAAAACCATTCGACTCAGCGTCCAAAAGACTACAACATGTATGGGCCAATCGCGGTCATCCGTGCTTTTATAAGAACGAAATGGCGCTTTTAGTGACATTTTGCATACAAATCCCCATCTCGTAGAGCGCAGTCACCCAGTTTCGGTGGAAGTGCGCGAGTTCGATTGGGATTCAAGTAGGAAGGGAGCGTCTCAGCTTCCTCGGACCAAGACCATTCGACTCAGCACCCCGAAGACTACAACTGGTGAAATTTTAATTTTTGCCTTAACTTCCCCTTTAATACTCAATCTGCGGACAGCATGCTGTTTCGTTCTTTTTGAACTCATCAGCGCAGCACAGAGGAAATGAGGCCGAACCTGATAGCAATGGAAATAAAAATTTCCAATCAGGCCCGAACGTACCTCTGTCCCCGGGGAAAATTGCGGAAAAAAATCGCAAAAAACGCGGGGAAAAACGCGGCATAATATGGCATAATTTGCGGTGAATTTGCGGTAAATATGCGGTAAATATGCGGTGAATAATATTGATGTGCGGCAATGGACCGTATGCGTGTTAAAACAAAATGGCGTCACGATTTATTGAAAGTGGTATAGTTGGTGGAACGAGTGTTCAAACCCATTTGAACTTCATACTGTTCGTCTTCTTTTTGACATGCTCTCTTTCCATCGTCCTTAGCTTTTGTTTGTTGAGAGCTGTTTTGGCTTTCTCCTATACCTCTGGGGGATGCCAAGCGATGGTTTTGAGAGACTGGTGATGGCTGTGAGCGAGAGTTTGCCGATCGGCGTCGTCCTCGCTATAGCGATGAAAATACTACATGTAGTTACTGCGCACCTGGCAGATATCACAACACGTCGGAGCGTCCAGGAGCAAAGGAATCTTGGGTTTTCACTGGAATCTAGTTCCTCCAGCATCGTGCAGCCCACCGTCGGTGAATGGCGGTCCAGAAAGGTCGAACCTGGTTTTCTGCAGCATCTCGCAGTCCTGCGAGGCACACTGAATACGCCTGTCATGTATTCTACAAATAAAAATCACGAAGTAGTGGACTTTACAGTGATGAGTCTATCCTGTATGCTGCAAAAGACGCAGGAAATGTCACTGGTGTCCGTACACTGGACGCCAATATCATCCCAGTCTTCTCCTGCAGGATCTGTTTGACATTGACATACCGGTATGCAGTGGGTCGACATTGGCCTGGTTTGGCAGCTATCTGCCTGGGTGGATGTAGCAGGTTTGCATTGGCGCGGCGTCCAGTCCGACATTTTCTTGTAACTGTGGAGTACCGGCAGGGTTTGAGAGGTTGCTCGTGCTGTGAACACATCTCTACTGCCTGTCTCGTCCTGGAAGTGCCGTCTCGCCGCTTCCTTGCTCTACAGTCACGCCGTTATTTCGCTTTGTTTCGTGGTGCAGCTCAAAACCTGCCCAAACAACTGTGAGCTCGCAACATGGTATGAACAAATTGCACCACTCATGCTGGTTAACTAAAACCGGGATAGTCGAGTAAGCGAGTTCACTCCCTGGGCCATGGCAAGATCTGTTCAGCGCGGGCTATTCCAACCTCCAAGTGCATAGTCACCGATCGATCCATGCGATGGTGGTTGACCTACAAAGAGCCAAGGTCTACGAGAACTACTATTGGATCCCGCCTGTCTACATGCAGTCAACAAAATCAAAGTACCTCAGTATGCCCCAGAACAGGGCATGTGCATCTATAGCATGACACAACAGGGGTTCTGGCAGCACCTGTCAAACAAGCAGTAGCGACTAGTGCCAGCTACCTATTGGAGGCTAGCCGCTACAGTCTGTCACTGGAGATAATTATTATGTTCACTGTTTAGACTGAGCACAATCAATGATGCCCAATCAATCTGCCCAATGTGTGTTCTGTTCCACCTAATTATAA